CGTCAGGTATGCTATGTTAAGATACCTCTCGAACGCACAATATGACGAGGGAAAATTAACAAACGGTTAACAGTCCCGGGAAAATTTAAATAACGAAACTTACTCGCGCACCAACAGCACTCGCCGTTACATCGTACTTTTTCTTTTTCTCTCTGCCTTCCAAATATAACCATTAATGCATGAATCATCCGAACAAAAATAGCGAGATTCATCTATATTTGCTGAAAGCAAATAACGCGCTCGGAGCGGACAGGAGGGACGTAACCGTCGACGTAAAAAGAAGCCAGGGGTCCTCGTCGAGCGGCCGCCGAGCCCTGAGCTGCCGCAAGGGCCGAGGGCGACGGGTAGCTACGGAGAGCGTGCCCTCGGTAACAACGCCGCCGACGCCACCGACGCAATCACCACCGCCTCCGCCACCGCTAAACCTCGACGCGTACTCCGCGCCACCTCCTCCTCCTCCTCCTCCTCCTCCTCCTTCTACCTCAGCCGTCCTCTCCCGGGCCCCCGACCCGATCACCATCGCGCCTCGGCGCCGCGTGGGAGAACTAGAATTCGCCGTGCCTGACGTCAGCCCGACGGAGGGCCGCCGATCCGCGGCGAGATCGATCCGAGGCGTCGGCGCACGCGCTGCCTTTATATGGGCCTCCGCCTCTATCGCTCGCCTCCTCTCCTCGCCATCGTCGTGGCAGCCGCCTCGTCGCTGAACGAAAGCACGCCGCCTCCTTTGATGCCGACATGCCCATTCGGCATCATCCTGGAGAGTCTGCGGAGACCCGTCGGTAGCCAAGAGCGCCCGCGGGTTCGCGGGTGCCGAGCTAAGCTGCCGATGCTCAGAAGATGAACACGGAATCTAATTTGATAGCGATGTCTCGGTTGCCAATTATGATTGTCCGTAGAATGCTCGTATGGAAAGACTCGAGGATTTTTGCTTATTTAGCGGAATTATCGGGTGTTTGGGATGATAAGTCGGGCATACTTTATGATTTGGCTTGTTATTTTGTTTATGTCGACGCAACAATACGAATTGAACTGCATGCTTTTATTTTTCTGCTGATATGCCGTAGCTGTGGGAGCACAAGAACCTCGGGATGAACAAATTTCGGTTGAACAAAATGAACGAATAAACGAATGAACAAACGAATAAAAAGCATAAAGTAGTTAAACGAAAGATATAATGAGCAGTCTGTATTAGTGGTTGAATTCATCGTTATTATATTATGTTCTTTTCAGATTATTGAAAACAAATTTTATTCCAATGTTTTTTCGACGAATCTAAATTAAAAATACGCGCATGGATCGGCACTAGTCATCGCTCATCATTATGAATAAAGTCGTTTAATTTTATCATGCTTGACATTTTAAGTTAATTACGTGGTAATGATCAAGGCTTTACTTACGGATGCTGTCACAAACGAATAATCTTGACCTTCAACACCCACTATAAAATAACGATCGATTCATATGTTGTACGCTCATCCCTGCTAATATTCACGCGATGTAACCATAGATTCGAGCATCGTTGAGCGTGAATTTTCCAAGCTTTGAATGATGATGGAATATCAATTATAGCGCGGCCGTTGTTTTTATTTGTATTCTTTTTTCTCTCTCTCTCTCTCTCTCTCTCTCTCTCTCTTTTTTCATTGGTATGCTCTTTCCGAATGTGGAGAGAATCGAGGGAAAGACTTTATGTGACATTACTACCTTTACTGCTATACCTTTTCTTGTACTCTGACTCATCATTACGCAGTCACAGTTTGTATTTACTTGCAAAATTGGCACTTTGCTAATAAATACACTGAAAACATATGTATTTTTTTGCATCTAAGATATTTCTATCCATTTTCTTTCAAAGATTAAATTAGAAACTTGAGAGATTTATTTTTAATTTGTAACTCACAGGTACGGTTCATTATTATTGATACGTTCACAAGCGCGTAAAAGTGTGTGCGAGTATATGTGAGTTTGTCATGCGCGAATTATATATATATATATATATGTGTGTTATGATTATATGAAATAATAATAATAAATAATCAAATAATATAGGTAATGATATTTATATGATATTTTTATATTTTATGTAATTGGTTGGTTCTTAAATACAATATAACTTTATCTTTATATACATTGAATATAAACAATACAACATTATCAACTCCTTGCTTATTTTAGAGTATTTCAATTGCAAAGTCTAAATTAAACTTATGATGGTTTTTCATTTATCCGATAATTTATTGAAGTATAAATGTTCCAAATGACTACAATCAATAACATTATTTATAGTTTCTTAAATATGTCTTTAGAATATCCGTTACTCTTATAACATACCCAAGTGGTTGAAAATGAAAATAAATTTAAAAAGAACTTAGGAGAATGTCAAGAAACGACTAAAAAAATATTTAAATGCAAGCATCAATAAGGGGTCCAACTTGTAGTGACTATACCCTAAAACATCGCGACTATCTCAAAATTTGTTTTAAGTTAATAATAGCTAAGTATGTTACTCGACAGGCAGCTAAAGGCAAGGGAGAGAGATAGGTAGATGCGTAGATAGATAAATAAATAGATAGAGATGGATAGATTTATGGATAGATAGATAGCGAGAGAGAGAGAGAGAGAGAGAATAAAAACCAACAATCACCTTGCTTCTATAATTTTTCATATTTTCAAAATTTTCAGTCGGATACTGCAAATTTTACTGACATACATTCATATATGAAAGGAACACCTGACAATGACTATACTCTTAAAAGCCCGTAACAGCTCATTTAAATATTACTATTAACATACATTTAGATATTATGCTGGTATTTCTTCTAAAATACTTGTCTATAGAATATGTAACATAAAAACATATATAAAGTCCTATTATATTAATTTCATAATTTAAACAAATTCAAGGGATTTCTTATTATATTGAAATCTTTCAAATCCTTCGTTTAGCAATATATGCAGTTTTAGAATATTTCTTTTAAATACAAATATATAAAATTCTTCTGATAGCTATTTTAATAAATTTCTTCCATCATAAAATTTTAATTTTTTAATATAAAAAGAGTAAAAGTATTTTTGAAAAATAAAATTAATTATATAAATATGGCTCTTTACTTTCATATGCTTCTTGCAATATTGAAATACTAAAAGGTAAATTAAAAATGTATATTAGATATTTAAATTGTTTAAATTTCTGAATTTAAATTATTCAAAATATATACAGAGAATATTGTTGACATAAACTATTTTTGACATAATTATGCACATTATTTATTTCGAATGGGATTATATTTCAGTTTTCTTTGTAAAAAGAAAGAATGTATTTTATTTATCAAGTAAAATTATATTTTTATATACTTATGAGCTTTTGCATCAATGTTATATTAATATAATAGTTTGAATGCATTTAAAAACGACATTCAAATCATATATAAATACATTTGATTATAATTAATATTTGATTAATTTAATAAAATTGATTGCATAGCTTACGTTAACTAATATTAATTAATCAACGTTAATTATATATAAACATTTCTTCGAAATATGCCAAAAATTAAATTTAAATTATAAAGAAACAATGATAAAAGTTACTTCTATTATTATTGGACATTTAACGATGCTCGACTCTGACATTGATCCTAACTCTTTCATTGCTTATTTCATTTGGTCATATATCTAGTACTTCGTAAATAATAAACATAAATATAATTTAATTAATTGCACGTGCCTATATGTACAATCGATAAATGATGCTATTGCAACATATAAATCATAGTTTGAATTTACGCTTTATTTAGAGAATAGTAGTAATTAAATACTATTAATGCCATCTTACAGTGATCTAGGGAACAGGCATTAATACATTTATCTTTCTGATTTACCAACTATTTTTGCACCTTAATGTGGCATTAAATTGAGGAAGCTTAATTTTAGAAACGTATCGTCTTTGTTAAGAAATTTTTTTTTTAATATGCCAGTACGTAATATATTTTCTTAAACCAATGGATTTTATAACTTATTATATATATTCTGCAAAATATAAAAATTGAGTATTTAATTTAATTACAATATTGTGATTTCATAATAATTAAATACTTTAATATCTGATATTAATAATTTTAGTTTACATTGGCTTAAATCAACGAAATTCATAATATAGTTTTAATAAATATTGAATGATATTTTGGAAGAATTATCGAATTAATTAATTAACGAATAAATTTTTTCATTAAATTTGTTAATATAAAATAAGCCGTATAAGTGATTTGATTCGCCTTTACAGATTAATAAATATTAAAATAATAATCTGGATACATTAATAATATAGAATTTAAAATACAGTTTAAGTGTTATTTGTAATGATTATTATTGAAATAATAATTTAAATAACATTGTTCGAAATATGAAAGCAATTGCTTTATTATCGGTAGAACAATGTAATTATTAAGTTATTTATCATAGAAAAAAAAAATAGAGTTATAATAAAGGAATAAAGGAACTAAACTTATCTCTACTTGTTCTAAGTAAGAGAAATTGAACATAAATAAAATAAAAGCAGAAAGATAAAATAACTTTGAGTGGAAAGTCTATTTTTAAATAAATTACTTTAAATAAATTTTAAAAGAAAATATTATAACAACATGATGCGATTTATGAGCTTTCTTAAACGTAAAAATAAAAAAATGTTTAGTCTTTAATTGAAATGTTTATTTACAGAAATTGAACAGAATTATTTTCATAATATACGGATATTCAATAATTATTATTATCGCGATATTAAGGTTTAATGTAAATTTAAGCCAATCAAATTCAATTTTGAATTATTGAATTACGTTATATCTTCACATTTTCCTTAAGCTTTTCTTACTTCACTGCTTTTACAAGAAATAATGTTTATATTAAAAAATACCTTAAAGCCTTTGATATTGAAATTGGGTGATGGAAAAATATTTATTGAAATGCTTGGAAAATGGGATAATAAATATTACAGCGCCATCTGTCTATTATCATGGTAAACAAATTGTCACCGCTTGCCCTCTTGTCGGATATTTTAATTTAAAGGGGTTAATTTAATGGAGAATAGAAGAACTATGAAAAACAATAGAAATAACCACAATAATAATACAAATAATAATCAAAATGGAAAAAAGCCATTTAATAAAAAGAAATATCGGGAACAGAAGTATAGTAACAAATTTAAAGGTAAACAATTTGGTTATCTATTGGATTTTTGAGGTTAAATCTTTTTTAACTATTGGTTAGGAAGAGGCCAGGAAATTTTGACACAATTTTATATTATTTTATCTGAAAATTTGTTTATTTTCATTAGTAAATCAATGGGAAGAGAAAAGGAGAAAAATAGTTCTGAAGGAATTCATGAAAGATTTGAAGAACGATAAAGATAACAAAATTGATTTTTCCATCAAAAATTTCAAAAATAAATTAGATAAAGAAAGGTAATAATAATAACAACAACAAAAATTATTAGACTAAGTTTTGTAACTAAAAGCTCGATTATGATAATTAATTAAAAATCAAATGAATTTTCAGTTGTAAAATAAATAGAAAATCAAAACCTACTTGGTTTTCTATCAGACAAGATATATTAGAGAAACAACAAAAGAAGAAGGAAGAAATTTTAAAAGCTAAACAAGAGCGAGAAGAAGCCTTAAAACAATATAAACAGAAAAGAATGAATACTTATAAGCAGTTGTCAAAAAAAACTAAGAAAGGTCAACCAGTAATGAGCGGTAGGATAGAACTTCTGCTAGAAAAGATTCAACGGAGTATTTAACGCGTGCTAGCCATGAACTGCATTTATAATTTAATTGTTTAATTTCGATTACCATGTACATATAATAATACATATTGTTTTTATCAAAAAAAAATATATATTACACGAATAGTTAATCTTTTTCTTCTTTGTATAATTCGGATTTACTCAACGCTAAAAGTAATGGCAAACTCATGGCCACCAAGGACATAACGATCGATTTGATTTATCCACTCTTACATTCACAAAGCACGTAAAAACTAAAAATATGAAAAATTCGGGCAAAATTTAGGATGGAAGTAAGCGCGCTTAATAGTGACACTTTAATGTCACTTACGTATTAATGTGTCGTGCTTAAAATGAAATAGATGGATTGTTAAATATGAATGTATTCATGTCGTTAGGCCAGTCGGTCATCAATTTTATCGAAACCTCCAGTCAGAATTTCGTAATTGCAGAAAACGCCCTCGACACTTTCAACCCTAAATAACCGAGCACGAAAAACTGCAGCTATCGCAAAGTAAAAAGTCTCGCGGTATTTACGATTAAAGAAAAATAACGATAACAATAATAACAATAAATAAAAGATAAAGAAACAAAATAAAATGAGGGGTGAGAGGCAGAGAAAGGACCGCCAGAATTCGACTAACAAGCCTCATCTCTTCATCATTATCATGATTATCATCATCGGAGCACAGCGCGACAAAATGTGCGCGCAACCATGGAAATTGTTTGCGCTCGCGAAAGTTGTAAAAGAAGCCGGGGGGAGCGGTATCGGAACGAACGATAAGGAAGTCTACCAGAGGATAAATCCGAACCCGAGAGCGACGAATTATCGGATCGAGTGCTGCGGCACAGTAGATTTTCGAACGACCGTGGGAGCTCGGCGCGCGCATGCGTACAAGTAGCTTAACAGCGGGGCGGACGACTGCGGAAGAAAGAGCCACGATAGCAGCACACACCGATAACCGTTGCTTCGAATAGCCCTCGGCGCGGTTGGGCGCCTCAGCTACATATATGACCCACAGCCGTCAGCGAGCGTACTCCGGTGGTGCTGCGAGTGTGCTGCGGTGCTAAGGGACCGAGGGTGATAAGGGGAGGCGAGGACGTGCGAGTGCGAGCATCGGGTCCGGCGATTGTGCAAATGGCGACAGGCGCGAAGAATACCGCAGTGGCTGCTCGCGACTGAGTGGAACAACGAGTACACAGCCGCGACAAGTGTGTGCGTCTGTGCGCCAGGAGGTGCCCGAGGAGCGACGCTCAGCCTAGGGCCGGCTAACTAAGACTACACCGATAAGCCATCCGAACCCGGACGGGGGGCACGTCACCAGGATACCGTTTCCCAACTAAGTGAGTAGTACTGGCTGCAACGGCCGCCCTTTAATTCCCCGGATCCTCATCTACCGTGTTTTTGATGAGAGAGAGAGAGAGAGAGAGAGAGAGAGAGAGAGAATGAGAGAATGAGTGAGCGTGTGTTTGAGAGAGAGAGAGAGAGAGAGAGAGAGAGCGAGGGGGACATTACCTCGGCCCAGTCACCATCCTCCCTCTACCCCCCACCCCACCCCACCCCACCCCCTTACCACTCTCCTAACTCGTAACGTCGACGTTGAACAGGACGATGATTTACTCCTGCTCGTCCTCCTTACGTCCGTCCCACTCATCGTTCACGATATCGCGCTCCCCCGATTGTCATTTATTTAATCTGTTAGGATGGCCACGACGACGGTAGGCCAATCATAATTAGCCGGCCACGGACTCGAGCGCCGGGGATCCGTCGCTGCCCCTCATTCTCGCCCATCCAATTTTTTTCATCATCATCTTTTCTCTCAAGCTATGCGATAGACGTAGAGACAGGCGTTAGATCGACTCCGTCCTTGTCTCTCACTCTCTCAATCTCTCTCTCTCTCTCTCTCTCTCTCTGGGGGTCATAAGTGCCGTTGGTCTCTCTCCCGTATCGAGCCGCTCCTGCTGCTCAGCCATCGCCGTATATGTTGTTAGTTTATCCCCCAGTCGATGACCCGTTTGATACATCTTGTCAAAAAGTCGGGAGTCGTGCCAGTGGCAGTCACCTTTGCTTCACCTCTTCGAGCGCAACGGGTACACGCGCCAACCCCTGCTTTTCTCTCCCTTTCTAGCACGCACGCACGCACGCACGCACACACGCACGCACACTTTACGAGATTTGGAATTGAATTTATCAGCCGGTTCTCTAAGACCAATTATGCGCATCATACACCCGGAGTAGTAATTTAGGTGAAATCGTTAATAGAAAGCAGAGTACAAGTGTGCCTCGAGCTTCTTCGCTGTGCCGTCGCAATTTGAAGAGATTAAAGCATGAGATTGATTTTAATTATACATTTTTCTTATCCGTTTGAATACGCGTTCAAATTCGCGTTAAATAAGATAAATAAGTGTGCTTGCAGTTGTTGACCGCCAATAAGGCAATTAATATTCAGCTGATATTGCGAAAACAGTCGAATCTTTAGATTTCCGTTAAGCAATCGTTTTTGTCTATGAAAGGGAAGCGATTGTTGAACGATGGACGATTACATATCAATTCGATGCTAAAGAGTGTTCCAAGCGATGAGGTTGTTGCGATGAAACGAGCGAATGGTCTGCAATTTATGTAAATGGGTAAAATAAAAATAATAGGTATTATATTTGTGTGGATATGCCTGTAATGAGAAGTAGTGACAAGTATTTCTTGCGCCTGTTAAACAAATTTATAATGCCGAATGAATGTGTAGAAGAGAAGAAAAAAGTGTTCGATGAAATAATAAAGGTTCTCGTTGTGTCTGTAGTTATGAGAAGACGACGTGTTTATACAATCATGACCAGAGTGCACTTATTTAAACTTGCATGCTAAATTGATTTCAAACATTTCATTATCAATTTCTCTTGTTACGCTCGATGAGCTATTGTATATAATTTTAAATAAGGTTTAATAGATTACACAGATTAATGAGACTATTAAATATTTATATCAGGTGTTTGCTCGTCATCTAGAAAGAAAAGATGCCAGCTGTACGAGGAGATGGCATGCGAGGTCTTGCCGTTTTTATTTCAGATATTAGAAACTGTGAGTATTTATTTTGACCAATCGACAATTAAAGCAAAGTAATGCAAAGCTTCAGTAATAAAAAGTCTATAACTTCCCGCAAAATCTTCATTGGAATATTATCAAATAACTCAACGTTATTGTAGAGAAAAGTTTTCTTTATTAGTATATAATGATTTTATGCGCGCTATGCCCTAGTGCTTATTATATCTAATCTCATTGCAGTTAAATGAAGAGTTAACTTTACGAAAGTAATTCAATTTTGACTTAATGTATGATTGTAATATGAATATTAACTTTACCAACATACCATTAACTTACTCTACCAATTACACAATAATTATTCAATTAAATTACCAAATTGAGTTGTTTTTTTTTTCCCAATTATTAATTACAATAAAGTATATATAAAGTGTGACAATTACAACTTAAACATTTATAATTACATAATACATAATTCTTATATAATTCAATTTTTTATAATTAAGCTATCAATATGTTGAAAATCAACTAATCATTATTATCTAGTATTTTCAATTATTAGCCAATATACCGTGAGAGATTTTAATTTTTTATTTTGAGAATTGAAAATTGCATTGAGAGTAGTATATTGTTAAATTATATGCGTTAAACGTGCAGTGTTGAAAATAATTAGAAATTAAAAAATTAGAAATTAGAAATTATATTTCTTATGTTTTCGTGGCTTCATAACTGTTTCCATTAATTAGTAATAAATAGCCAAAATGTGCAAAAATTTCTTTTTTAAGTAATATAATTGTAATACGATGACAGAATTATTTATTTTATTTTTGCTTACCATAAATTTGGACATAAATTAATTCACCCTCGCTCGGTGTATCCTTATTCGTGATATATTGTAGAGAAATAAAAATGAGTCAGTGGAACCTCACAATTAAGGCAGAAAATTACGAGATTTGACATGCAGAACATGGGAATGGGGGGCGGAGTTTTGATATAAGCCTATCTTATATTGATAGAGCAGACTTTTTTCAACGTCATCATAAGTTAACGCAATATCAAATCAATGAAACATTCTCAATATTTTACCATTCGACTATCTTAGATAACTATTATAATAAATAGAGTATAAAGAATTTTTTTTCTTTTTTTTTCTTCTAATTTTACACTTAATCATCAATTATCTAAAATGCAAATATAAAAGAAAAATGAAATTATCAATTGATATGATCAATTTGCCATTAGGCCCAAGTAGCATTGTCTTAATCATATTTTACAAATATTATTTCATCCTATATTAAGACATAAATATTTATTTCCTTTGTATTTTAAAATTATTTTTTTTTTTTTTTTAACTATTCTCTACAATAGGTAAAAGTAAAGAAGCAGAAATAAAGAGGATAAATAAGGAGTTAGCAAATATTCGAAGTAAATTTAAAGGTGATAAAACACTCGACGGTTATCAGAAGAAAAAGTATGTATGCAAGTTGCTTTTTATTTTCTTACTCGGCCATGACATTGATTTTGGGCATATGGAAGCAGTCAATCTTCTATCATCTAACAAGTATTCGGAGAAACAGATTGTACGTAAACGACTTACTTTTACACATCTTATTGTAATGTTTAATATTATTAATTAATTGACTTTCCTTAGGGATATTTGTTCATATCAGTCTTAGTTAATACAAATAGTGACCTAATTAAATTAATTATACAGAGTATAAAAAATGATCTTGGTTCTCGTAATCCGGTTCATGTTAATTTAGCTTTACAATGTATTGCAAATATTGGAAGTAAAGATATGGCTGAGGCCTTTAGGAATGAAATTCCGAAACTTCTAGTATCTGGGTAAATATCAAATTTTGTATATATTGTATAATATTGTAAGCGAAGCTGTAAAGTTCTCAACGATCATAGATAATATGAGAAGAAACAGAGTGCAAGCATATTAAAAATCTAATTGAAAATTTGATTGATTATCCTTGAGGAGCCTATAGTATTAAAAATTAAACTAAAATAGTTAAAAGGAAAATTAAATTTTTTGTGCGTTAGAAGGATAACGATGTAGGTTCTGTTTCTCCTCCCATTAATCACCTCAATCAAATCAATTAATTACATTTTTCACATAGTTCATTTAAAATACAAAATTATTAACAGAGATACAATGGATGTCGTAAAACAAAGTGCTGCTTTATGCCTATTGCGACTTTCTCGTTCAGCGCCTGAAGTGGTTACTGATGGAGAATGGACATCTCGTATTATTCACTTATTGAATGATCCACACTTGGGAGTCGTCACTGCAGCAGCTTCCTTAATTGAAGCTCTTGTTAAAAGGAATCCAGATGAATACAAAGGATGCGTTAGTCTTGCTGTATCTCGTCTGAGTAGGGTACGAACGAAACTTCAATATTTTGTTCAAGTCGCTAACGTTATTTATAAAAATATATTCTCTTCAGATTGTTACAGCAAGTTATACAGATCTCCAAGACTACACATATTATTTCGTTCCTGCTCCCTGGTTATCTATTAAATTATTGAGACTTCTTCAAAATTATCCCCAGCCAGGTATTTAAAAGGATAATAATAACTTAAATATAACGAGCATTTGGCAGCACACGTCTTATATATTTATTGATAATTTATGCTTTTTCATTCCTAACTAAATATTCGGTTTTGTTACAATAAATTAATGTAAATAACTCAATTAACCAATAAACAATGCAATAATCAATAAATTATAATACACAAATAATCTATTATTTTCTTATTTTATCTAGCTGACGATCCTGGCGTAAGAGGAAGACTGCAGGAATGATTAAATAAGACCCAAGAGCCACTAAAGTCAAAGAAAGTTCAACATTCCAATGCGAGGAATGCTGTTCTTTTCGAAGCTATCAGTCTAATCATTCACCAAGACAACGAACCAACTTTATTAGTACGAGCTTGTAATCAATTAGGCAGTTTTCTTTCGAATCGTGAAACCAATTTACGTTATCTAGCTCTTGAATCAATGTGCCATCTCGCGAAATCAGAATTCTCGCACGAAGCTGTTAAAAAACATCAAGATATTGTTATTGTATCGATGAAAATGGAAAAAGATGTCTCTGTGAGACAGCAAGCGGTTGATCTACTGTACGCAATGTGCGATAAGACTAATGCGGAAGACATCGTACAAGAAATGTTAAACTACCTCGAAACGGCTGATTATTCTATAAGAGAGGAGATGGTGTTAAAAGTTGCGATATTAGCCGAAAAATATGCAACGGATTATACTTGGTACGTTGACGTCATTCTTAATCTCATCAGGATAGCTGGTGATTATGTTTCAGAGGAGGTTTGGTATCGCGTTATTCAAATTGTCATCAATCGTGATGATGTTCAAGGTTACGCAGCAAAGACCGTTTTTGAGGTAAATGTAATTTTACCGTAAAATTTACTTCGTGCAAATTGTCAATTGAAAATTAAAATAATTGTATTGTAATATGCAGGCATTGCAAGCACCAGCTTGTCATGAAAATATGGTCAAAGTAGGTGGTTATATTCTTGGAGAATTCGGCAATTTAATTGCCGGTGACCAACGTTCATCACCTTCAGTTCAGTTCCAACTCTTACATTCCAAAGTATGCTATTAATTTTATAATATATATATATATATATATATATATATATATTATTGTAATAATTATTTCTCTTCGATGCATTTTGTTTTTTTTTTTTATAGTATCACTTATGTTCACCCATGACTCGAGCATTACTTTTATCGACATACATTAAATTTGTCAACCTCTTCCCTGAAATCAGAAACCAGATACAGGATGTATTTAAGCAAGACAGTAACTTACGTAGTGCCGATGCTGAACTTCAACAAAGAGCTTCTGAATACTTGCAACTTAGTATCATTGCATCCACGGATGTTCTGGTAATTACTTTTTCAAAATATTAATGTTTTTCTCATTATGTTTAAATATACATTTAAATGAATCATTTTATATTTACATACAAATATTGAAAATTTAATTACAAAACTAACTATATCAATATTAACAATGAAATAAAATGGCTAAAAGATTTTAACTTATAGGCGACTGTTCTCGAAGAAATGCCGGCATTTCCTGAAAGAGAATCTTCCATACTGGCAGTATTAAAAAAGAAGAAGCCAGGTCGCATGTCTGAAACAGAAATCCGACATAATAAGAGTCCAGCTCCAACTACTAATAATCATAATGAAACATCATCATCCGCTGCTGTCTCAGCTATTAACAATATGTCCGCTGACTTACTTGGTCTTTCAACACCACCATCAACTCAGCCAACAGGTAATACAGGTGCACTGTTTGACGTTTTAGGCGATATTTATAATATGCCAGTTAAAGGAGCATCTAACGGTACCCAAGCCACCTACAATGCTAAAAAGTAAGTATAAATAATTTCTTCTAGTTGCTAATGAAAACCTATGTTTTATAAATCTTGAATGGTATATATTTGACGTTTAGTGTTTAGAAACGTTGCTTGAGTATAGTTGAAAAAAAAAAATTGTATTCCTTCACATATGTTAAGAACATGAAAAAGCATATAAATGATTGATACACGGATTCACGTATTTTGTAGGGAACTTTTTAAAAAATTTCAAGAAATTCGTTTCAACTTAAGAAATAGTAAAACTTTCGCTCTGTTTATATATTTCAGTTCGCGTTCAATGTTAACAGACAAAATTTACATCAATTATGTTTTTCATTATTACGCTTTTATTAAATTTAGAAGTGAAAAAGACGATAAAATGATAATTATATTGATATTAATAAGCATGAAAGTATCGTTTAGCCAATATTTTAGTTTAATAAAAGAAAATAATAGTTACACGTGCAGTGCAAAAAATGTAATTCTAAGTCTAATTGAATATATTATTAAATAAAATATACGATATGATAAAAAAATTCCTTTACTAATTTTATATCATTGATAACTGATATCAATTATAAACTTTTAATTTAGATTTGTTTGTAAAAATAATGGAGTACTTTTTGAAAATGATCTTATCCAAATTGGTGTAAAGTCGGAATTTCGACAAAATCTTGGTCGCATAGGTTTATTTTATGGAAATAAAACCCAACAAGCACTGATTAATTTCCAACCGCAATTATCTTGGCTAGAAGATGAACAGACGAAATTGGTTGTACAAGTAAGACCTGTTGATTCTGTGCTAGAAGCTGGCGCTCAAATTCAACAATTAATTAATGCTGAGTGCGTTGATGACTATAATGGTAATTATCAAAGTATACTATTTTAAAATTAATTTCATTATATTAAAAATATTTTATTCTTATTAGATGCCCCTAGTATGATTATAAGTTTTAATTATAAGAACTTACCTCAAAAAATAACAATGAAGTTACCATTAACGATAAATAAATTTTTTGAACCAACGGAAATGAATGGAGAGTCATTTTTTGCCAGGTGGAAGAACCTTGGAGGGTAAATCATTTTGAAACAAAACATAAAACAAAAAATTATAATTACTAGAAATATCAATAATTTTTAATAAATACGAGAATATCTGATAATTTACTAATTTACATTATTTATACCTTATTACAGAATAAATCAACAACGTTCACAAAAAATATTTAAAGCTCAGGCGCCTATGGATTTGACACAAGTTCGCACAAAATTACAAGGTTTTGGCATGCAACTTTTAGATGGAATAGATCCGAATCCTGATAATTTCGTCTGCGCTGGAATCATACATATGAGAGCCCAACAAGTCGGTTGCTTATTACGCCTAGAACCAAACAAACAAGCTCAGGTAATAAAAAAAAAAAAAGTAAATTTATTACAAAATAATTAATATGTCACTGGTAAATTTGTTGTACTTGTTTTTTTTTTTTTTTTTTAAATTTTTAAAGTAGATGAATACACACATAAGAGGCAAAATTAGAATTATATTAAAATGATATTAAGTTCTGTAGTATTATTAATATTTTATGTGATAACGTTGGTCGACAATTCGTTTCAATGGATTATATAATTTTTTAATAGTGAGATGTGTTTTAGATTCGTAACTTTTGTTTTTGAAAAGAAATAAATTGAGTAAATTTGAACTCGAACTCAGAACCAAACCAAATTGTACAGAAAAGTTTTAGCATTTGAAAGCTCCTCAAACTTTACATAATTTTTTCTTTATTTAAAAATTATTTATAACTTGTTAATAATAAATGATGAAATGCATTGTTTTGATTTTTCATTTTATATAAGAAATAGCAATTATGAACATTTATAACGACAATACGGATCGAAAGAACGCGTTTAATTACTTACTAAAATTAACGACTGTTGAATTAACGAATTGCGAATAGCGAAAAGAAAAAACATTGCTTTCCAAACAATTAAATGTTTTAGTTTTTTTTTTTTTTTTTTTTTCCCTAATCTACAATAAATCTAACAGCAATAATCTATAATGAAGATAATTTAAAATGAAAATCATAAAGCAATTTACAAGGAAATTTCATACTGTTAATAAAAGAATGATTGATATAAATCTTTTGAATAATGATAATGCGATTGTCGTAAATTTTTAGCATATGTAACTGAATTATATATACATATATATTTGTCGCTTTTTTATGCAGATGTTCCGGTTAACAGTGAGATCAAGTAAAGAATCAATGTCCATAGAAATCTGCGACCTATTGGTGGACCAATTTTAATTAATCTAATCGACGCGCCCGTCAGCCCTAACTTATTTTTTATATGATGCATAATGATCTTAGCATACTTTGCTAAAAGCTATTGGAATAAAGGTGGAGCATCATACCATAGAAGTGCAATGAGGACGCTATTTATAGATTGTTAATCGCAAGAGAAAATTAAAAAGCAAACATGTTGTACCCCCAAGCTTTCAGCCAGAGTTGCACTACACAAAGAAAATGGACAACATTCTCATATGTAGGACCACTGTAGGTTAATTATGTGAGAATCATTTGTTACCGCGTAGGACAATACTAAAAACGACAGGTATTCATGTCAAATTAGGGTTTAAGATCAGATGAACTTACGACTGACAAGCGGAATAGATCAAACCGGGCAGTGGGACAGTATTAGTTTTGAAACACTTGAAATTTGGTGTTATTGAGGTTAGCCATTGTTAATTTTGATTAACGCACCTTACCTCAGTTTTTATCTTTTTTTTTTTTTTTACGATTTACGTCAAGTATAAAAATAAAAGTAAAACTTGAAAAATCGTCTTTATAAATATAATAGAATTCAATTGGCAAATAGTTATTTTGATTTTTACCTTTTATTTTTACGGGATCAATGAAATGTAACATTGAACGATCAAAGGCATGAAGTAACGATTCGGGAAACGATGCGAACGATGCGCAAGAGCGCGACTGTGGAGAATAAAAGAAAAATTGTAAAATTATATTTTCATTTCAACTGTAAATAGGCTCTTGCTCGTTATTAATTTTACGACAATTTCTTTTTTAAATAACTATTTTTTATGTATCGGAGTTTAATAATACTGTCGACTATGCTGGCCTTGTCGTGTCGATTCCGAGATGTACATTTCCCTTAAATAACTTTAATGTTAGCCTAGTAAGTTACTGTCTGTCTAATACTCTGTTTCCCGTTTTTGTTTTTGCGTCGTCGACCCATTATTCGTTGTGTGTCATAAATAACATACGAGTCAAATTCTTGTGTGGATAGATTTTTCATCAGTTTTTCTGTTTTTCAAACGTACATTAGCTGAGGAATTCATTGTATCAATCTCGTCAAACGAATCTCAATATAATTATGTATATGTAGTCAAATATAGAAGGACAAGTATTGATGTAGATGTAAAAAAAAACTCGATGCAAATGTGAGAAATTAGAAGAGGAAAAAAAAAATAATAAGTGTTGCCTCAAAGTATCGTACTCTGAAATTCTTTATTCAAAATATCAATAATGACTTTGAAAAAAAAAATAAATATTTTTAAATATATTTATTTATAATTGTGAGGGTATCAAAGTCGATGTTTTAAGGCATTCGCGAAAAATTGGTTAAAACATTTTAAATTATAAAATCCGTGAATGAAGTATTTGGTAGAGAAAAATAAAATTTAAACATATCGCGTTTAATCACTCAAAATAGATACGCAAAGATAAATGAAAAAAATCGAAGTTTGAATAAAAATTTAAAAAAGGAGATAGTCGAGTTATACTGATGGAAGGCTGTAATTAAAAGTATATAATTGACGTATAAAAATGCCTACAACTGCATATAAAAAAGTGTATGTTCGTAAATACATATATAAAGAAAAAAAGTATATATATATATATATATATATATATATGCATGAATAGAGACACACACATTTACACAACGCACATATATGCAAATCATTATTGTTCAATCATTGGGCGCGAAGTTTATTCAGGATAAGATAAATGTTGTTACAGCTTTTATCTGTTTCTCATCTCGTCTTTTCTTTATTTCTATCAATCGTTTTTTTTTCTCTTTTATCGTTAATTCAAATGATTGTTTTCACCATTTAGCTTGTTTCAGGCTCTCTGGTTGAAATGCGCAACGAATGATGCAAGACTCACTATGCTTTTCGAGTCAAGCGTAGGTACCTATTGTTAATTTAAAATAATAACATTTTTGTTTATTTATATTATTATTTAATTGAAACTCATAATTATTAAGTGAATTATGGAAAACATCATGTATCTAATGAGATTTTTTTTCAAAAAAATAATGTAATTTTATATGCGAATAATTATTGATTTTATGTTATTAATTTTCTTATTGATATGTTTTTATAAATGGGGTATGTATCAGTAAGTAATTATTTTTAAAGTATTAGTGAAAATATATAAAACTTAATATAAGTCATATTAAATTTATTGTATATAGTTGTTAGGATATAAATATTATCTCTCTAAAAACAATTTGATAATCAGTTATAAATTGAATTATTAGATGTCTATTAATATATTTTTTGTAAACTACTAAATTGAAGAATCTTTAAATTATTATAAGTGATATAAAATTTTAGGTTTCACAATACGATAAAAAGATATTGTTTTATAAATTGTATCAATGATTAAACAATCCTTTAAGATGAGAATACATTGGCTTATAAACCCTAATAAACGTTTAAAAATATTAAAAATTATATTCTATCATTTATTTTAATCAAAATATAGTAATAAAAATACGATATAATAAGCAAAAAAGTGTATTTAAAATTAACAAAAAATCTAACGTTTGACTTGTGACTTCTTTTTCCAGTACATTACCGTCGACTGTCGTTACTTTGTATCATTTATTGCTTAGTGTGAATGTATACGTTTGTAAGACACGCTATTGATTTATATTATTAAAAAGAAAAAAAAACAACCAACAAACAATATAATCTTATTGTATAAACATTTATGAGTTTATATTTTTAAAACGTGCATTGAAAAGGGAGTTACCAATTAATATTCATAAGAGTTTCGTTTATTTCAACAAATAGACTGGTTTTTTAATTTTAGTTTATCTTTTCTTTATAAAACGTTCAAACAAAACAAAAAAAAGAAATCGATTAGATTAATATTTTCTTGATAATAATTGTATTAATAAACGATATAACTGTAATATACTGCTTTCTAGTTAAATATGGATAAAAAAAATTATAAGCATAAAATGTTTTTTAATAATTAATTAAAATGATGAGATAATTATAACAATACATATATTTTTAAGACAAAAACTAAAGTATAAATTTTTCATGAAGCATGAAATACATTGAAAATACTATTGAAATTATTTTTATTTTCTTTTACTTATTAAAATTGTAGTTCTTTTTTTAAGAGAAACATTTGATAAAATATATGGAAAATGAAAGGGAAATTTATGGGAAAAAAAATTAATAATCGCAATGATAAAATGTTAAATATCTATTGGAAATGAATATTTGAAATAATATTTTTGTTTAAAAAATAATCTCAATTATAATTACTTAGAAATTTTAATCACAAAGTGATTGTTTTGAAGAAGCATTGACTAAAATTGCAATGATAACTTTAATGTTTTTAAGTAATATTTTATACATAGAAAAGAATTAATAGTATTATTACTATAATATGTTTATATTGATTAATACAGCTTGTATTCTTTTTATAATAAATAATATTTATGTATATATTGAATTATGTTTCATGTATAGTTCAACTACTTGATAAATAAAAATTATTGCTTGAGTTTTGTTCAATACTTCTTAAAAATGAATTTGTGGTAAAAACTCATTAAAAAGTAATTATAATCGACATATATATATATATATATATATATATATATATATATATATATATAATATACATATATAGAAGGGATTATGAAAAAAATGAATGAATAAGAAATGTAAAATGTCGCCTAGTCCATTTTAAAAAAAATTTCTAACATATAATTTTTTTTTATTTTAATCGCGATATTTATCAATCATAATTAAAGAATAAATTTATAAATACATTTTTATTTATATATAAAATGTAATGATGATAATAGCACCATTTAATCACCTAATCGAAAGTAATTTTTACATTATAACTGAAATATAAAAAATAAAAAATGTGAAAACTGACAGATAATATATTGACTATCTATTAATATATTAATAAAAAATGTAAAACTATATAATAATTAACTTTTCCAGATAATGAGCAAATTTAATTAAATAATATTTGTTTAACGATACCAAATCAATATATTTATTTTATTTTTGTTTATTTTTAAATTATACAAGGGTATTCGGGATATTATAATAATGACAAGGTAAATAAAAAAATAACTAATAGAAATTCATGTTCATACATACTTTTTAATAACTGGGATATAATAATTATGATATGACTACATATTGTTCTCTGCGCATAAATTAAGCATTATGCACAATGCGACAAATTCTACAAAATAAAGAAATATTAAGAGATAAAATATTTGAAAACGTATTACAAAACTCAGTGTGGACATATTTTAAAAAACACTGGCATTAAACATGGTTTTACAACTTTTTGTCTTTGTGTACTCAGTTATTTTACTTTTAAAGGATAAAATCAATTCTTTTAACATAGTGTCAGTATCTTTCGTTAATTTATATATATATATATATATATATATATATATATATATATATATATATATATATATGTAAAACGTAAGAAAGACAGAGTCACAAGGTAATTGTTTTAGTCAGTTCTGACAATTCTTATGAACATTTAATGTACTTTTATATTTTAAGTAGTTGAAACTAATTCAAATAATTATAACAATATTTTTTTTTTTTTTTTTTTTTTATTATTATTATTCATAATATAATAAAAACATTTATTTCAAATTACATTTTACAAATGCACTATTGATATTTTTTTAATTAGAACAGAGATGTATATAATTTGTATTACAAGTATTATGTACAAATTTACAAACCATATAAGAAAACTTAAATCACCTATTAAGTATCCAGGAATACTTAAAGTTTTATAAACTATAACAAATTGCATGAGTTTTATAAATATCGTATAAGTACAACATTAAATTTCGAAAGTATTAATATGTATATTTAATATTTTTAATCATTAAACTTCATTAAAAACAGACAAATGAATTTGTATATTAATTAAACGAATATACTTTTATTTATTATCTAACTATCTCATTGATTTAAACATGTTTAATTATGTACATAATAAATGTATAAAAGAGAACTGGACCGAAAACAATTACCTTTACAAAATATTATAACCACATTAAATTTACGTACATGATCTGTTATTTTATACATTTAAATACTTTTGTCTATAATGATTTTCATTAATAATGACATATCTAGATCAAAATTGTTACTTATACAACTATTTATGGATGAGTATATTTATGATCGGAATGAATGCTTAGTTTGCAAATTTTTAATTCAACCATCGAATAGTTTAATTATTTTCTTTGAAATTCTACTCAACGAACGATAGACAGTTAAAGATGTTTAAACATTTAATCGTTATTATTATTTTTTTTTAAACGACAGTGAAGCATCTAATAACAAATTAAATTTTTTGTTTAAACAAATTTTTATAATGGCCATTTACATTTCAATACTTTGAAAATGTATGAAATTAATTTAAAATCTCTGTACTAACGTTCTCTTGTATTCATATATGTGTACACCTAGAAATATTCAACTATTTAATATTACATTTATGTAACGAAACTTCTTTCAAATTTAAATGAAAGTAAAAAATAAATAAAAGAGAGAGAGAGAGAGAGAAAGAAAACAAATCGAAAAAAATTATGCACTAGTGCTCTTCAAAAACTTAATGTTAAGGTTTATTAATTTATATGAAAACTGCAAATGCGTTGAAAATGGAAATGTATTATATTTAAATTAAAATTTGATCATGACATTTATTGAATATAATATTTTACTCGAATACTTTTGAAAATTGTATAAAATAAATTAATATTAATAATAAATCTACTAATAAATATTTATAAATTAAATAATTTTTTGTTATTATTAGTTCAATTATTTTGTGAGTTTTTTTTTGTTCTTTTGTCATATATGTTTCTTAAAGTTCGAATTTTCAATTTGTATTACTAAAAAAAGACGTATAGAATAATTTTCATATATTTTACAAATGTAGGCTCATCATCATAGGTAAAAGAATTATCACGATATTCTATAAAAGAAAATCCAAGTTTACGATCGTCAATGCGCATTATAGAAATACGTGGATAATTTGTAGAAATAAAACATTTATGTACAAAAAACATTTAGATAAATACTTAACAAATATATGGTCAAACAACATTGCTTTTCAATGCGCTTAGTCTGATTTGCAAATATTGGTGAGATTCTTTTGTTCGATAATCAATGATAAAATCATTATTTTATCCTTTCATTTTTACGCGTATCGCATTTCGCATGGAAGATGAAGCTCTGTAATGATAAAAGAAATTGAAATATAAAGTACAAAAATACATTCATATGACAGATTTACCAATAATTCGTATGATGACAGTCCTCGGAAAAATAAATAAGTACAAAGGTAAACGTTCGTAAGAATAAAATAAAAAGGACACTACACTAATAATAAGCGGGACATGTATACGCGGCTACATACGTAATAAGATTATTTTCCACGTAATGACGCATATCCCTTACTTATTATGAAAAATCTACACGATCTGATACTCGATAATTCATCGTTTCATTCCAAAACAATCATGTATATTACTATTGATAGGATAGGAGAAGTTACAATGAAACTTTTCAAATTATCGACATTTTTATTTTAATCTCGGGTGATATTATAATATTACCTACTTGTAATTTCTTTATCTTTCAATTAGACGTGACTAGCTTAAAGTTATTTTCAAACCTTCTTTGCTTTTTATTTGTCATCCTTAAATTAATGTTAAAATACATTTAACTTATTCTGATTTATAAATATTTACGCAGCATCATTTACAGGATGACAACTATTAGTATAATTTGGCTCGGTAGCTTTAGCCGTTACATTATGAATGATCAAACTCAATTTACGAATACATTGAAAATATTATCTTTATATAATAATTAAATTATCATCGAATCGTTTACAATAATAATTTTTAATTCTCAAATTCTTATTCAGATTAATAAATTAAGATTGATATTTTCAATGTCTCATTTGGCGAAGAGAACGTTGAGATATTTTTTTTTTTTGCTTTTTATTTTTTCTATTTTTTTCTTTCTTCTTTTTTCTTTTAAGCATTGATTTAAGCATCAAGCACTTTTTCTTGTTTTATATAAAAATTTGCAAATAAATATAAATGTATCCTAAGATAAACGGTAATTGTTCCCATTCCACTACAAAACAAAATGTTGCCAAGATAACTAAAACTCGTTATATCTCTCGTCGACTCTAATTGTAATTATGCCTTTAATTATCATTAGCTTACAGTTTTATTGTATTGATAATTTTGTAAATATTTATGTTTTACACTGAGATGGCTTTATCTACAACCTTTTTTAAACATTAATAATGGGATGTGTGCGCGCGCGCGTGTGTGTATGTTGTAAATAATTATCACTAAGAGCTACCAAGTTTGTCACATTTCGCGCTATTTCAAACAAATCATCCCGACCAATCGTCATCAATCAATGTTCCATTAAATCATTTGAATCTGAGAAAAGCTCTTACAATAGCATAATATGGAGTGGAAAATTTCATTAAACATTAAACAGCGCGCGACTACACCCTCCCCATCCCACTTCGCCGAAATAAAAAATTATCAGGGCAAAACATCGAAGAGACTGGGACGTGCCGGTACGCACATTATCTGTCGATATCATCGGCAAAGCATCGTCCAAAAAATGTTCACAAGCTCAACGGGACTCCAGCAAAGTCCGCCAGCTTCATACGTAATACATCCACGGCACAGACACACGTAACTAACGTCCCCATGACGATTCCTGGTAGCTACTACACCTCGAACTGCTTACTCGGGCCTCAGGGCATTGGACTTGCCCTCGTCCTCTCGCATTTGGGCCTGCGCGTCCTCCCAGAGCAGTCTCTCCCGGCCTTCTCGATCCTTCTCCTCGTCCACCCCCTCCTCATCACCGTCGACCGAGTCCTCGTTAACGAGCTCGCTCTGCTCGCCGGTATCGCGCGCGTCCTCCGGCGCGAGGAAGACGCCCGGGCTCCCGGCACACTTGCGCCTGTAATCGGCATTGTTCGGGGCCCGCCTATGACAAGAGTCGCAGAGGGTGTCGGCACTCGGGTTGCAGTGGCGCGCCTCGTAGAGGCCCGGTCCGCACCTCGAGCAGATCCAGCATGGCTGGCTACCGTGATGGGGCGAGTAAGTGCCGGGCTGGCACTCCGCGCAGACGGTGTCCCTGCCACGGCCGCAGGGTTCAAGGACACCCCAGCCAGGGGCACACCGGCTGCAGTGGGAGTCGCCCCGATGATGACGTAGATGCGCCCGACCCTCGCCGACCTGAAAGTCAAAAGCGAAAGCGGAGTGATGAGCTGGCCGATGGCTGGCCTTCTGGTAGTGAGTCGTCCGTAGTTGGAGGTGGGTACGGGAGGTCGGGGAGCTGGGAGTAGGAGCCCGGGGCAGTCTGGAAATTTGGATGCGCAGATCACCTCGACACTTTATTAGCTGCTAATGCAATTTTCGGAGCGCAATCAATTTTCTGGGCGCGTGTTTGTAAAGAGAACCTTGACGCGATTGTGGATAGATTAGCCGAATGATCGTTGAGCCGACATGTGGCCTTGGGGAGATTAAATTCTGTTAAGTGAATTTTATATTCGAGTGGAAATTTTGTACTTTGGATATAGATTTACCTTACATTGTCTTTATGAAAGCCAAAGTAACGAATAAGTGAGTGAAATAAGACACAGGGCACGATAAAGAGGAATCAGGATATTAACAATGAATTCGAATTAAAATCCAACACACTTCAAAAGTTAACAGTTATATTGCACTTAATTTCAAATATTTCGTGAATGTGTTCCTTTCTTTTTTTCTTTCTTATTTTTATATTGTTTTGTTTTGTTTTGTTTTTTTTTTCTTCAAAATTCATCATAAGCTGACAAAACGAATTTATCACTATGAAATTGTTTAGTCTCATAAGATCATATCTGATAATTTATTAATAGTTTTTTTTATTAATACATTTGGTTGTCCTATGTGAATAGACGCGAAGGAATCGTTGCATATGTCCGCGATATGCATCATTAGATGTTTAATCGAGGACGAGAGTATCACTGCGTTTGTAATGATTTTCAATGACGATTAATTTTCAAACGGCTAAATGTCTATTTCTTCCCCTTGCTGAAACATTATCCTTTAGATGAAAAAACAAAAAAAACGAAAACGAAAACAAACAAAACAAAAAAAAAAAAAAAAAAAAAAAAAAAAAAAAAAAAAAAAAAAAAAAAATAAATAAAAACGGAAATACTCGTATAATCTAATGATGTGAGTAATATCGATAGCGAGCGCTCGAGTACCTTACGTTAAATCATCCTCATAGCGCAACCGAAATTCGATTAAACTATTTACGACCGATTTAGTTGGACATATTGCTTCCGAGTTTCACGTGTATCTCCTGCAGGTAAATCGCTTGCCCGCGAGAAATGTGGTCAGGATGAAAAAGGGGCTACGCTCGAGCGTTGTTATATCGCATTTGGTAATCGGCGAGCGGCTATAAAATGTTTCCCCCTCTGCCCGCCCGCCTCCAAAAAACAAAGGCGCTTTACGCGTAAGGAGAGAGACAGGGCCCGCGCTGCCAAAAGAGGACTAAGGGCATTCCCCATCACCTTCTCCTATTCCCGGGAGATAATCGGGGATCGGAATACGATCCCTCGGGGAAAGGAGGTCGGCGGCAGCCGAGGGGCCATATCCGATGAGCTAAGCGAAACGACTGAATATGCCGACGAGCAGGTGCTCGCCAAGGCGAAGGCCAGCTGACTTGCAGCTTGCGGGCCACTTGCCTCGCGAGGTTCGCCACCATTGCCAGGCGCTCGCGACAATTATTCAATCGTAATCGTTATCACCGTCCGCGCTAATGATTGGTCGTCGCCTGTACGGCCGATCACCGCTGCGGATATAACATTTAATGTCGCGAGCGCGTTCGCTTTTACGGTGACGTAGACATGCGCCAAAATCGCATCCAGCTTGCGAATGCTTTTCGAATGATCGAGTCGCGCGTGACGACGATATTCATAAACCATTGCATTTATTAAATGGATTAGATGTATTGCGGGTCTAAGAGCGAATATCACGTGTGCGTTCTCTGATGGCTTTTCAACTTCGAGCGTAAAGTAATAAATGGAAACAAAAAAGGGAAAAAATAACATACAATGGAAGCATAAAGTTTCGGGTCATGTAAATTACCAGGTCATTGTAATTGTAAAGTAAACAAGTGCTTTACCAACCAATGAGACATTAAAATAAAGGGAGATTGATCGATTTATTCGACTGGGCCTGATGTCTAAAATCAAAAATTGCTTTAAAGATCTTATTTTAAATTTTTGTCTCAGAAATACCGTAATAAAAATTAACTGCAATAAGTTTAAATTAGTTTTAAAATTGTCTTTTTGCGCTTCGATACATCTCATTTGGAATGGATACCTTAAGTTTCACATAAATTTTAATGGCTTCGTTGTTCTACTTTTTTTTTTCTTTTAGTCATTTGAAATTTCATTAGGGGTATCTTTATGATTATTAAGATACATAAACATTTAATCACTACGAAAATTGCCGGCAAAGTTTAATCTTCATTGCAATTATTAACAAATATCTAATGCACGATATGTATACATATATATATATATATATATATATATACAAACACATATTGCGTATCGTTGATAAAGATTGAATTAATCTTTTTATATACTATTCGATGAAATGAACACATTACGTAACTTTTATTTATTATTTATTGGCATTTTTATTGGATTTTCCCACCAATGCGTACATACATATCAAATATAAAGGCATATAATGCTCGGCTATATCCTAATGAACAAATTAATTTTGTTTAATTGTCAAAAAGCTACTAAATTTATAATCTTCGTCCTTTCAATTTTAACTTATAATCAAGTTAATTAAAAGTTTATCTTTTGTTTTATTATTTTGTTTTTCCTTTTAATTTCTTCCGATATAATAAGTCTCCTACACAAATCAATCATATTTTTATGAAAGAGGACAAAAGTATAATAATAATATTCATTTTGTGATTGATCTTACTATTCTTAAACGACCTTAAATAATAATTTGTTTTTCTAGTGTTAGCCGACCTGTGAAATTGCATCAACAGTGGGCAACAGCACATACATTTTACTGACCATGAGTATCCCATGCTATTTATGCGTACATTTTTAAAACTGTTAACGCAAGCGTTACAACAGCGATGGATATAGTAACGCTTACTTGTCTCTTTTTTTTTTTTCCCCAAAAAAAAAAAAAAAAAAAAAAAAAAAGAAACAATAATCAACGGCTGTAATACTACTCACGATCGTCAAAATTTGCACATCTTTGTATTTATTAATACACGGCATAAACAGGCATCCGAGCTAAAATTATCATGAAATTGATTCAGCCAACGACGTAAAAGAGCATTCGATTGTAATTTGGTCCAGTTAAGTGTCGAATTGGCGGCTATAAATATCGAGACGAACGGGTCAACAAGCTGCTGAATTTGGGAAATATCGATGTCGTTGAGTCGTTGGTAAGAACCGATCGGAAAAAAGCTTAAGCCGTAAGTAGTAGAAAGTGCACTTTGCCAAAAAGGCTTCTCGTCCCCGACCCCGTCGATCAGCCAGCCGCGAGCTGTACAAAATTTAATTACCTGGACCGGACGAGTGCCTCTCGACGGCATCAGAAAAACGTCGAAGCGAGGCCAAGAAGCCGGGGTGCGCGCGCGTCATTGTCACACGCACCGAGGCAGTGCAGTGGCTTTGCGCACACTCGCGTTTAAAAGTAACATAACGCGGCAGCTGGCACGTGCCGCACACGCTCCGACCGCAACGCGGGCCCGACGCAGCCGGCGAGGGCCTTATTTTCTCGCCTCGGCCGTTCCATCGTTTCCCTAAAGTCCCGCCGCCCTCCCTCTCTTGCTCCACAGCTTGCGTTTCACCCGGCCGACTCACGTACAATCCTCGACTTTTCAAAAATCAGCACTTGCCAGGTTGCTGCTGCTGATGCTGCTGATGATGCTGCTGCTGCTGCTGCATCGCTATTATCAGCAACTTCGTTCTTATACTAATACGGGTTTCGCTTCTTAAAGGGGCGAGGCTCGGCTCCGCGGTTCTTGCGGCCGTCCGATTTCGATTCGACGACGACTTCGGCTCACATTGGAAGGCTTGCGTGCGCGACTATGACGTGAAATTAATTTCTTTCAATTTCTAGGGCTTCGCCTGCTGCAATTTCGAATAATTTCTTACTCCGTTTGTGATCGACTTTTACGAGAGCATAAAAAGCCCCATAAATTACTTTAGTTGCAATAATTTCAAAGAAACGAATAGCTAGAAGACACCTTGTTTTCCTTTTTTTACTTCCTTTTATTCAATTTCAAATCTTAAAGTGACTATTGACGATTCGTTTTCAAAGACCTGAATTGCGTTGTCGTGTGAAAATTATATCGACAGATACAAAAGTAATTTTTTTCTCTCACCTCATTATGTATATTCTCATTATGGATTCCGCTATAATGGGAAATAATGTTTCTCAAAGCGATAACGGCCTACTAAATATCTTATTTATTTTTTCTTATTTATTACTAAATATTTATTATTTATCTGCTTAAACATAATAAACGAAATAATAGCTGAATGTATAATTTTATAAATGTTATAGGCACGGTATTTCACACGATAAGCTAGTTCTAATCGTATAAATGAAGCTGATGGAAAGTGAATGATCGATTAAAATTCATTTTAATCAAACAGAGCAACAGAAAATTTTGTTATAAACATGCGTTGGAAAATCTTATGTGCATATGTACCAAGAAAAATGATTTTAAATTTCGACCAGAGGTTTATTTCTTATTTTCTCTCTTTATATATCATTTTCTTCTCGCTTCCTTTATTATTCATTCCCTCCCCTTTCTCTCACATATATGTATATCAATATATATATATATATATATATATATATATATATATATACATCTGCCTCCAACAATTTCTCCCTCTTTTTCCGCTCCCCTCTATGTTTTTTCTTCCTTTATACATGTGTCTTTTACTTTCGCTGCCACAGTTGTGACTTTCGTGTGTCCCACCTCCCCCCCGCCCCAGTGTATTCCAATCACCACAAAAATTTTATCCTTGGTCAATAGTCATTATATGGCAAAGTACAAGATGGGCTTTTACTCCAATATGTTCGGCTTTCTTTTGTATTTGATTGAAATGGACCAAAGAGATTTATTTTCTAGGAAATGGGAAGTGGCAAATTGTATTTGCGGATGGGGATCGAGTACCTTCCGTTCT